GAAGAACACCAGATAGATGAGTTAAATTCACTTGAACACTCATCCTCAACATTAACAAACAGCACAAACACATCTAAATTGCATACTAAGGCTGCATGATCATGACCAAATCATAACTGTTGATTACTTCTCTTGATATTGTAATTGTGATTATTAATGGCAATTAATAAAATGAATTTGTAATAAGCAACTGTGTGTAATATTCAAAACCAGCTGAAAACTATTTCTGAATTACTTTATTGCTGCTGAACACATAAAAGTAAAATAAAAAATTAAGTGCATAAACATTCAACTACAAATTGGTACTCTTAGCAACATAGCAATATTAGAACACTTCTATTCCATTAAAATCCCTTTAGTTCACTCACTGCATGTTTACAGTTTCACATGATCGTTTGAGACCGTATACACTCTCATAAACAATCCTGTTATAATCAATGACCTGTCTACACTGTAGAATAAATCTCTTATTGACACTGTCAACAGCTTGTGAATGCAGAGCATGCAAAACCAAAACAGTCAGTCACCTTGTGCTGAAAAACTTTTAAAGTACCTAAGTCAAGTTTAATTAAGTTTCCCTACAAAGATCACCCCACTCTGCGGTTTGAAAGGGCTGTGGGACACAAGCAGGACAGAGCCCATCTCGTCTCATAACTTCAGGTTTTCTCCAAATATTCCAAAGCAACTGTTTGTAAATTGTCATAAAAGCTAATTATATCATCCGCAAGAGCAAGACATCTATGTTGGATGTTGCATTACATGTAACAAAGTGAAAATGAATGCACATGACGTGGAAAAAATAGATATCAGGAAAAAAATTAACAATTTGCTCCAACAACTAGTTAATTTGTTCATACAAATTAATTCGTGGCCACATTTCATTAATTCTTTACCTCATTAAATTAAAATTGAGGAACAAATTTGTACATTGTGGCCTAAAATGAGAAAATAAATTCTTAATTTGTGGCCTCTGTATTTTTCACTTTACCCCCGCATGTCATGCTCAGGGCTCTGTACAAGT